GTCCTTGAACTACCACATCCAAGGAAAAGACTCATGGTCACACGAAGTCCATTTTGTAGCTATAAGTGCTGCTTAAAATCCACAGGTAGGAATAAAGCAAAGCTCTTGGCAGAATAGACCTCAGAATAGACAGAGTTGTCAGCACACACCAGCCCAGGACCACCACAGGACCACCTTGGAGAGCTTCAAGCTAAACAGAAGCTGCCCCATGACCCCCAGGCACATGCTGACAGAGCATAGGGCAGGGGTGGCAGCAGCACTGGGAACAGGAGGAGAAGGGGAGGCGGCAGCTCTGGGAGCAGCATTGGCCAGGCTGGGGACAGTGATCCCACACTGTGGCAAAGTGTCAGATATCTACACAAGGAATTTCTAGAGGAAGCCAAGTCCACGGTCTGCATGGCAGAGCCTGAAGAGCATCTGACAATGCCAGGGGCAGGATTGTCCCTCCCCTGTGCCAGCACACATCTGCAATCTTGGGATGCCTGTGGCCCAGCAACGCCCCAAGGCTGCCAGGGGACTCCAACCACCTCCACTATGGGGGGGGGGCTTGCTGTTTCACCCCACAGGTATCAGAACCCTTGCTCAGTGCTGCCTCTCCACCCCCCACCCAGGGCTGCAGACATGCTGAAGCCCCCGGCCCTCTGCTGCCTGTAGGACACTTATTTTCCAGCTGTGTCACCATGACCTGGCAGCAGCCTTCAGCATGTGGCTGAGGCCTCCTGGGACAAGCTGGCAGAGTCCTGGATGCCAGCCTGAGCAGGGCAGGCAGGAGCCTGCGGCAGGTGGGATAAGCCAGTTCTTGTCCCATTGCATTGTTGTTCCCAGCCAGAAAGGCTGTGGAAGAGGTGCCACAGCTGATTGCTGAGGTGGAAAGGGCATTTCCCTGCCACTATGTAAGGCTTGCTTCAGAAGAGCAACAGGAGACGGCACCAAGAGGCCAAACCACCCACTGACTGCTGTGATTTGTAACTGTGCTTCCTGGCTGGCAGCAGCACAATCCTGAAGCATTCACCAAAGAGGACACAGCTCTGTAGTCCAGCAGCCATGAACCCAGGACTGGCCACCCCTCCCTATCAGACACAGCCCAACTCAGCACCAGCCCTGGTAGAAGCACTGAGAATTTGGGATTTTACCCCAAAGAGAGCCAGGGAGGACCCAGAGTGATGGTTGGAAAGGGGCAGCATTCAAAATAACTCTTCCCATGCCACCCTGGGCTTGGTCCCTGTTCATAGAATTATAGAACATCCTGAGGTAGAAGAGACAAATGAGGACATCAAGTTCCACTCTTAGCCCTGCAGAGGACAACAGTCCTACCCCGTGTCTGATTGTTCAAACGCTCCTTGAGCTCTGACAGCCTTGGGACCATGACCACTCCCTGGACAGTCTGTTCAGTGCCTGACCAGTGCCTGAAAGGGTGAAGGCCCTTTTCCTGATATCCAGGCAAATCCCACTGGGACTTGGGCAGGGATGCATTGGGAACTCTCTTGGGTGTGAATGGCCCACACAGCACAGGCAGAACTCATCTAGCCAGGATTACCACACATGCAAACCCCAAATCTGCAGCAAGGGGGAGCGGCACAGCCCAGCCAGCTCACAAACCACTGGTACCCATCAGCAGGAGCGATACAAGTGCAGGCAGAGCCTGTCTGAAAGTCTTCTATGGTCACCCATAGGAAAGCCCTTGGCCCAGGCATGGCCAGGCACGCAGGGCAGCAGTGCCAGCCTGGCAGCACAGGTGCTCCTGGCTCAGCCCCACGGAAATGCTGAACACTGCCTGGACCACGGCTGCGTGTCCAGGGGAGAAACACCTGGCTACACACCTTCGAAAGGTGGCTACACAACTTCAAAACAGCCACCCTCCTGCCAGGCAGCAGCAGGGTGTTTTGAAGCTTTTCTAGAAAAACCCCAAAGTTTGCAGCCCACTCTGGGGTGGCTCAGCTCTGTCTCCCCCTGCACAGCTCCCGCTGCCCTCACCAGTGCCTACTCCTATCACGGACACACAGGGGATGTGTGGCTGCGGGGCACAGGGGGCACTCGTCATGGCACATGCGGGGTCCCCGATAAGCAGTGCCCGGGTGTGGATCAGAGATAAGGCTCCCAGTACCTGCATCACCACCCTGACTCACATCCCGCTCGCAAACCACCCTAAAGAGCGGTTTCCGCGGCGTTTGTAACACCGAGTGACAAGTATGTGAGAGCCGGCCGGTGGCCCCAGTTGCCAGCAGGGACTGTGCAGCCTTGCCCGGGGGACGGCGCATCCCCAGCCAGTGTTCTCCGGAAGGGCCTCGCTTGTCGTGGGTGGGGGGACACCGCCCACCCCCGTGACTGTGGGGTGCCGGCCAGCGGCCCATCGATCCGGAAAGCGCAGGAACTGTAGCCTGAATAATGGAAAGTTACCGGCAGCTTTGGGCTGGTGCCAGCTCTTGGCAGAGGGCGGGAGGCAGTGAAGGCTGCCCGGGACTGGGGGGCAGTGCCGGAAGGGGGCAGCACCCCAGCTTGAGACAGATGGAAATGGTGGAGGGGGGAAATAACGGAACTGTTAAGATTGGAAAAGAGCCCCAAGATCACCGAGTCCACCAAAATCTGGGAGGCAGCACCCCAGTGTTTGTATGGTGGGGGGATGGAGGGAGCAGGAATGGGGAGCAGCATCCCAGTGCGGGGCGGGGAGGGGAAGGAAGACTTCAGGCATGGTAGAAACGCTGTGTGTTGTTTGTGTGCAGAGGGGTGGAGGGACACAGTGCCCCAGGGGGCTAGGGAAAATGGGGCGTGGCTGGCAGCACCCCAGAGGGAGGATGGAATGGGGAGGATGTGTTAGCATCCCAAAGGAGATGGAGAATAGAGGTGGGAACCCCCTCAGGGTGTGCAGGAGTGTTCGGGGAACGGCCGGGGACAGGTTGCACTCCAGTGTGTGCAAGGGAATAGATGAGGACAGAGAGGGTGCAGCAGAAAGGGGGGCAGCACCCACTATGTGCAGAGGGGCAGGGGAAGTGATACAGCCCAGTGGGGGCGCAGCACCCCCGTGTGCAGGACATAGTCCCTGCCGTGCTCGGGGCACTGCCACCCCCCGTGCTCGGGGCACTGCCACCCCCCGTGTTTGGGACACTACCACCCCCCGTGTTCCGGGCACTACCACCCCCCGTGTTCCGGGCACTGCCACCCCCCCGTGCTCGGGGCACTGCCACCCCCCGTGCTCGGGGCACTGCCACCCCCCGTGTTCCGGGCACTGCCACCCCCGGTGAGGGCACGGGCGGTGGCCCGGAGGGCGAGGCCGTGACGCAAGCGGCCCCGCAGCCAATGGGAGCGGGGGGCTGGGCGG